GACAGTAGTTCAGGAACAAGTGAAAACAAAACCTTCATGTAAGTGGTTTGGTGTTGGGATAATTCCAACTCACATGGGCCATGATCCAGAGTTGGAAGAGGTCACTGGGCCTCCTTCAGAGTCCTCTCCTGAGAAAGCAGGGCAAGAAAAGTAAAGAATCTCAGCAGGACAAGCTTTCCACAGATCTTTTTTGTTTTGTTTTGGTTTGGTTTTTCGAGACAGGGTTTCTCTGTATAGCCCTGGCTGTCCTGGAACTCACTCTGTAGACCAGGCTGGCCTCTGCCTCCCAAGTGCTGGGATTAAAGGCGTGTGCCACCACCGCCTGGCTTTTTCTGGTTTTTCGAGACAGGGTTTCTCTGCATAGTCCTGGCTATCCTGGAGCTCACTCTGTAGACCAGGCTAGCCTCGAACTCAGAAATCCGCCTGCCTCTGCCTCCCAAGTGCTGGGATTAAAGGCGTGTGCCACCACCGCCTGGCTCCACAGATCTTTCAAATGGATAAATGAGAGGGATATTTTCTTCCTCAAAGGAAGTCAGAGGAAGTAAGGATATTGTTGGAGTTCAGGAATTGGCACTCAAACCAATCTAACACTGATTTCAGTTAAACAAGAATAGTTTATTGAACATACATCTTAATATTAGACGTCCAGGACCAAAAAAAAAGGACTGAGGTCCTAGTTTGCTCTCAATGTAGACTTTTTACAGGAAGAACCAGGTTCAATAGTTTAAAGGGCAAGGAGAGAAACAGTCAGCTTACTAGGCAAAGCGTTATCAGCTAACCTTTAAGCTGATTGGTCCCCCTTTAACCCACAGGCCTGAGGTAGGGAAACCGGTTAATAGGGAAAGGAGTAGTGAACCTGTCTGGAAGTAGCTCCTTGAGGCGATTCCACTCTTCATTGTCAGGATACCAGAAGCTCAGTTCGATAGCAAACACCAAATCCGAGTCAGTAGTGGTGGCACAATCCAGGGATAGAATCGTGATTCTTTCTTTTTTTTTTTTTTTTTAACAGTTTTTTAATTTTTATTTTATTTATTATATGTAAGTACACTGTAGCTGTCTTCAGACACACCAGAAGAGGGCATCAGATATCATTACAGATGGTTGTTAGCCACCATGTGGTTGCTGGGATTTGAACTCATGACCTCTGGAAGAGCAGTCAGTGCTCTTAACCACTGAGCCATCTCACCAGCCCGTGATTCTTTCAGTTAGGAAATAGGATAGGGTACTTAATCTAATTGAAAAGATATGACGGACTGGATGTCATTTGTATATCACACTGTGTAATTTACACGATTGTTATGGCTTTGTTCAGTTTATATCTGGGAGATGGGCTTTAAATTTTTTTTTTTAATTGGACGGAAAAGGTGAGGTATAAGGGGAGGCGCTGATACTAAGGTCTAGCTCCCTGATTGGTTCTCTGCTTGTCAATAAAGAAGGCCGGAAGCTAATTGCTGGGTGAAAGGACTTCCAGGTCCCAGGAGGAAAAGGCAGACTCAAGGAAGGATGGGAGCTTTTCTACCATGCTTGGGAATGAGGAGCACACAGCAATCATGTAAGATCTTGGGGGCAGCCAGGGCCTGTGGTGGCCAGAAATGTTTGTCAAGGGCTGATTGGAACAGGTGACCGAGTTTGGGGCGGAAGGAAGAGATGGAGGTGGCAGTTTGGTAAGGGCACACATTTCCAGATGGGAGGTATTTGCACTCAGTGGTTGTGTCACGGAAGGCAAGCTGTAAAGTGACAAGCAGAGAGTGTGTCTTTTATCCTCGGGTTTAGCGTGGCAGATTCTAGGCCTGAGCTAGGCTGCCATCCAGGGAAAAAGGCAGAAGCATGTTTCTAAAACTACATGCAGAGTTTGTGTGTGTGTGTGTGTGTTTCAGCATCTTGACAAGTCCAGGCATTTACTCAAAATCTACATCTAGGACAGCCCCAGTGAAGCAACCTATAGATGCTCTGGTCCACTCTCACAGACACAGATGCTCCTACTGGACCTGCTCCTTCCCACTCGCAGATGGTTCACAGACCCTGGACAGCAAGACAACGGCCAACTCTCCTAAGACTCCACCAACATCCCCATCTCCATCTTCTTAGGTTTCCCAGAGACATGTCGCCCTGTAGTCACCAGGAAGTGGCTCAAGATCACATAGACCCTCCTCCTGCTTCACCCTCACCTCTTTCTAGTTACTCTTTTTCTTTTCTTTTTTTTTTTAATTAAACCCAAATGGAGGAATGTTAGCATTCCTTCTAGGCTCAACCCAACAGTTACCTGGCAATAGCTAGGTAGGCCTGGCTTGCTATAAAAGGGCCGTTTGGCCTCTCGTTGCTCTCTCTGCCCCCCCTTCTCTCCCTGACCCCTTTCTGCCTCTCTCCCCTTCCCTGTCCCCTGTCTCCACATGTTCCTGGTTGGCCTCTTCTCTCTCACCTTGTCTTAGGCAATACGAGACATTTAACTCTGGGTATCCTCTGTTCACAGTTTAGGCCAAGTCCTAGCAGTGGGCAAGGCAACAGAGCGGTGTTTCTCGATGGTTGTCATGCACAATCTAGACAGTCTTGTTGCTGTGCCCGTACCTTCTCGGAAACCTGAGGGTAGGGGGCTTACTGTTAGGCTTTAGAGTTTCTGTCATAATAAGCTTAAACATTTAACATATTTAGCAGATTTCTGACAAGATTGAGAGTATCTAATAAGCATATCTGAGTTAGGCAATCTGTGTTATTTGTCCTAGAATGTATCTAGTAAATAAAGACATGTATGGTGAGGTGGGAGGGGTGTCTCGGTGGGCCCATGCTGAGGCGTCCCTTCCCCCTGAGGTATTAGCCATCTGATGGGTACAGTGTTGAACAGTTTATTTATTTAGGGCATGGGATGGGGAGTTGAGAAGGGAGGAGAGAGAGAGAGACAGAGACAGAGAGATACAGAGAGATAGAGAGACAGCTATAGAAACTTCTGTCAGCTTGGGGCCAGAGAGCAAAAGGATGCTCAGGAAATGAAGAATTACTGTGGATGTGAAAGAAACAGAGTAGTTCAAAACAACCTAACCAAAATTATTTCTTTAGGAAATGTCCCTATAGCAGATCCTGGTCTCAGACGCTCACCTAAGAAGTCAGGGGGGAGTGTGTTGAAACTAGTTAGAGGAATTTGTGTTCATGAGATGTCCAAACTTCTGGTTCATTTTCCTTTTCAGATGCTGGATTCTGTTACGTCCTATCCATCCACGATTCTCATCTGTCTCCAGTTCTTAAAACACGTTTGCTAGGATGCCTTCTGGGACAAACCATTGGTTAGCAAGGCCATTTCCTCATCTTCAGGCATTTCCTGGAAAGCTCCTTACCTGCTGAGTCTGCCACACATGTGGCTTTGTGCAGCATAGTCTGAAAGGCAATTAATGTTCCTGCCACTGGGTCTGGGCAAGCGGCTTATGTGCTCACTTAGGACTTCTAGACATCTTTCCTTCTACCTTTATGAAACCTCGTTTTAAATCTTACAACATATGTTCTTATATTCCTCTTGATGACATGACCATAGGCTATTTCCTCATGGCTTAAAATCTTGAGCTCCAGGCTCACAGTCTGCAACTGGGCCAAGTCTTGCTTTCCACTCTTGCAATTTTAGTATAGCCATAAGGAAGAGCTTGATTTGCTCATCTCCCCTGGACCTGCTTATTCTATTGTCTCATTCTTAAGAGAATACGAATCCTTTCCTCTCTTACCCCTCCTCCCACAGCGTACTGTTCCAGTTTTCTGTTCACATTTATACACTTGGAATGTACCATGTATGCTGTCTTCTACTGCTTACACATCACTCTGCTTGGTCAAGCTAATTTTGATCTATCTATCTATCTATCTATCTATCTATCTATCTATCTATCCATCCATCCATCCATCTATCTACCTATCTATCTACTTAAGATTCTTTGGGAGGAAAAAACCCTTATAGTCAACCAGCCCAAGCCACCTAGCCAGTGAGATGTTTTCTTTCAAGGGATCTCGACGAACCTTGGCCCCTCATCATACTGACCACGGCATGACCTGAAATGCTCTTGTCCATCATCTTAATGTTTCTGAACATATGCTGTATGACAAGAAAGTTGGACATTGTCAGAAAAATACCCCTCTTCTCTTGAACTATAAACTTTATGCTGGGCAGACCTACAAACGTACACCTTCAAGTCACCATGCTGAAAACTATGATCCACACAAAGTGCTCTCCAGCACGAATACTCAGGCTTCCAGACTAAAATCCCTGTGCCTTCAGGGAGATGGCTGCTTTGTGAACAGTCACAGTGCTTTCCTTGCCTGTTGGAGGCAATAATTCTTCCTCTGTTCCTTCCTTTGCATTCACCCAGGCCAGAACCCATCACCTTTTAACTATATCCTCACTCCTACAAATGACCTAACAACAGCAATTAGACACAACATTCATTTCCTTCTGGCCACAGGGTCGCTACCACCATTGTGTTTCCACAAATAGTAACCTGGTATCAAATACATACCTATGTCACACTTAAATTATCTACTATAGGGTCGACCAGATGGCTCAGCGGTAAAGGCACTTGCCATCCAGCCTGAGGACATGGGTTTGATGTTTAATAAACATGGCAGAAGGTGAGAACTGACCCAAAGTTATCCTCATTCCCAAATGCATGTATGCACCCCATACATGCAACACACAAAAGATAATTTAAAAAATACAATCATCACACTCAGCTTTCACACACGCACACACGCATGCCTTCTGAGCTTATCACTCCTCCATGATGGCTGGACTGTGACAAGGGCACTTCACCAGAATGTTCCTCCCTCTACCAGGCCCCATTCTCCCCATCCGAGTCTAAATTAAACTTAAGAGTTTCTCAGCTCTTAATGTAGTGGGTTTTTAAGAAAACCTTTATTGTGTTTCCGGTGTATGTGTATGTGTGAGCATGTAGATCAGAAGACAACCTCAAGTGCCACTCTTCCCCCTTTTTGAGACACGTACAGACACACAAATATGCACATAAATCATCTTCAGAAGATAAATCTGGTCAGCATGAATGACTGTGGCTTTATTACAGGAAAGATATACGACAAAATTCTCCAAGTGGTAAAGTTCATAGGTAGCAGTAATTTCCGAATGACATGCACATGTAAATGTCCTGTATCACACCTATTCACAACTGTGGAACACACAGTACTAAGAGGGACCAGAAACTGCACTTGTATGACACGCAGGACTGCACTAAACATACGTACATCTGCATCATTCAGAACTGTCATCCGCCCACGAAAAAAAAACCCGCTCACACAAGAAGCCAGCATCACCATCCCTTTCGATGTTAGGCTCACCTCTTCTGTGACTTTTCATTTACCTTTATAACTGAAACTTTTCAAATGTAAAAATTATGCTAAAATAAGCCTACAGAGTCTCCACAGGGTTTTCTTTTCTTCTACAGTAAATATGTTATATAAATAGATATTATGGATTCCCAGTAACCTTAGTAGGACATGATTTTCTTTTTCCTCTGAGACAGTCTCACGAACTCCCCGTTGGCTTTGAATTCACTACATAGTCCAGCACGACCTTGAACTTCTGAGTACTAGAATCACGGGTGCAATGCCTGGTTATACAGCTGGAGAACAGACCTAGGGCTTCGTGCATGCCAGGCAAACGCTCTCCCAACTGAACCACCTCTCCAGCCCTCACAGAACGTTTAAAATGCAATTCTGAATTTTTTTAAAAATTCTTTTGGACTTTTTATGTTGTATTAAAAAGCAAGCACTTCAAATTTTCCCTAGCAAGTAAGTAATACACATATAAAAATCATGTATCACATATGTTACACGTTTATATGTCATTGCCAATACTTTACAATAGAGCTATATGCAACCTCTCTTATAAGGCATTCTCGAAGTACATAAATAACCCACCTGTACAGTTTTCCCTAAATTAACAGCAATCACATCATGGCTTTGAATGACAGACATGTTATTTTGCCAAAAACTCTTTTTTTAAAAAAAAAAAAAAAAGAAGAAAAGAAAAGAAAGAAAGAAAAAGAAATTCAACATTACAAATAAGTTAGCTTTCCTTAATTTTTGTGTCACAAGATACCATAGTAGTGAACAGTGTAAGCTCTTAGAAAAACAAATCAACATATTTATCTTCATGGGTTTCTTCAAAGGTGAGGGCCGGGGCTGCAGCTGAGAAACAAGAGAGCTCAGCACGCACAGGCTCTGGGTTTCACACCACAGCAAAGAGTATGAATGTCCAGGTGTGAACCCATGTTGACATAATAACTAAAATCACTTTTCATACATTTCGGGGCTCCGCGACACTATGAATTTTCTGTCATATGAGAGGTGAGTCCAAGGGAAAAGGTTTTCCACCTTTCTCGGAGAGCCAGGGTTGCTTGCCGGTCTCCACTCGCTAAAGCTGTGACTCTGAAATGCATTTCCGCATCTCTTACGTATCTTTCGAGTATTTACTGCTACCAGTTCAGAATCATGAATAAATGTTTCCAAATTCCTTGAATTCAGTTCTCTTAGTCAGCATGATTTTACAGATGTCTATTAAATTTTGAACCAGGAAGAAAGGTCTTTCCATAGTCCTTATATCCAGTTTCCTCTCAAGATTTTTCTCCCTTGAGCAAGACATGAACCCACGAAAGTCTCCACGCTGCTTACACTGTAGGATTCTCTACCCCAGGGACTGACATGGACAGAGGCTTGAGTTACAGCTGAAGGCTTCCCCAGATCTGTCTCAGATTTCCCACCAATGTGGACATTCTAGTGCTGGCAACATTTGAGACCTAGACATAGGCTTTCCCACGTTCCCCACCTTAACTTAATTTCTCATCCGTATAGATCTCCTGACGCTGGCTGAGCTGAGCCATGAGCAGAATCTTCCCAACACTCCTTAGATTTATAAGACTGTTGACCAGTGTGAACTCTCTCATGTTCAACAGCATCTGACTGCCAAGCAGCGGCTTCTCTGCGTTCGGCGCGTCCTTGGGCTGCTCGACGCTGTGAACTCTCTGATGTTTGATGAGATGGGACTGCTGAATAAAGGCTTTGCCACACTCAGTACACTCGTAGGGCCGCTCACCAGTGTGAATCCTCTGGTGCCGGGCGAGGTCTGACGCGGAGGCGAACGCTTTCCAGCACTCCTGGCATTTATACGGCTTTTCTCCGGTATGCAGTCTCTGATGTCGGGTCAGCTCTGAGCTGTATCTGAAGGCCTTCGGACATTCCTTGCATTGAAAACGTTTCTCCCGAATATGAATTGTCTTGAGATCCGCATCCCGGGAACGCCAACTAAAGTCCTCGGCCTTTTCCTTGCGGTCATACGACGTCTTAGCGGTCTGAAGTTGAGTATGCTCCGGATCACGGAGGACGGTCTCTCCGTGTTCCTTTCCTTCCCAGAACTTCTCGCCCGTGTGAATCAGGGAACACCGCGGAGCGGGTTCTAAACCACAACCAAAGGCCTTCTCTCCTTCGCTGAGCTCGTGTGATTTCTTACTGTGAATTTTCTGATGTTGAGTCAGGTGTGCTCCGCGGGTGAAAGCCTTCCCACACTCCTTACACACGTAAGGCTTCACACCGGTGTGAACTCTCTGATGCCGGCCAAGGTCGGACCTGCAAATGAAGCCCTTCCCGCATTCCTTACACTTGTAGGGCTTTTCTCCAGTGTGGATCTTCTGATGCCGCGAGAGGTCTGAGGGGCATCGGAAGGCCTTTTCGCAGTCCTTACATTTAAAAAGTTTCTCCCTGTTATGAATTTTTTTAAGACTACTGACAATGGAGCGCAGACTAAAGGCCTTGCCACATTCTTTACACTCGTACAGTTTCTTGCCGGTGTGAACTGTCTCACACCGAGGAAATTCTGGGTCTGGAAAGAACGCCTTTCCATTTTCCTTGTCTTCAAAGAACTTCTCACCAATGTAAATTAGCTGCCGCTGGGTACGATCTAAGGCAAAGCTGAAGCAGTTCTTACACTCTTTGCACTTATGCAACTTACCGCCAGTATGAATCTTCCTGTGTTGACTTAACTGCGACCCGCACGTGAAGGCTTTCCCACACTCCTTGCAGACGTACGGCTTCTCACCCGTGTGGATTCTCTGATGTTTAATGAGGTGAGACTGTTGGATAAACGCCTTCCCACACTCCGTGCACTCGTAGGGCTTCTCGCCCGTGTGGATCCTCTCGTGACGCGTAAGGTCCGAGCCGCAGCTGAAGGCTTTCCCACATTCCCTACACTGGTAGGGCTTCTCTCCAGTGTGAATGCGGTGATGCCGAGTGAGGTCCGAGCTGTAGTTAAAGTACTTCCCACACTCCTTACATTCGTAAGACTTCTCGCCAGTGTGAGTCCGCACGTGGACGCTCAGCAGCGAATGGAACCTGAAGGCTTTCCCGCACTCCTTACACTTGAAAGGCTTTTCCCCGGTGTGAATTCTCTTGTGACCAGTGAGGCTAGAACGGAAGCTGAAGGCCTTGCCACACTCGTCACACTGAAATGCCTTCTTGCCAGCATGAACTTCGCGGTATCGGGTAAGTTTAGGGCTAGGAGGAAAGGTCTTTCCGCATTTTTCATCTCTCCCGAATTTCTCCCCTCTGTGGATGAACTGAAGTTGAGTGGGCTCTGGTGTGAAACTAAAGGAATTTTCAGATTTAAGTTCCTTTGCTTTCTCTGCTATATTCAGTCTTGGACACTGATTAAAAGCTGTGAGCAGATTCAGAAGGGGCAGTTTGTCACACGTGAGTGTCATTTGCTTGAGGTTTCCTTCTTGATTCTCCTTTTGTGGTGGAGCCTGACCTTTGTCTTCCCAATCTGCGGCAGGACACGAGCCTTCAAGCCCGTGATTCGGCTCCATTCCCGTTACCTCCCAGTGGGACAACCGACTTGAGCACGTGATGTTTTTTGGTAGGATTTTCTTCATCTGCCACCCGGAATCTGTACCTGAAAGATGAGAATGTACAGGTGTACTGTTTTATTATAAAGAAAAAAAAAAATGGGCCGGGCGGTGGTGGCGCACGCCTTTAATCCCAGCACTTGGGAGGCAGAGGCAGGTGGATTTCTGAGTTTGAGGCTAGCCTGGTCTACAGAGTGAGTTCCAGGATAGCCAGGGCTACACAGGGAAACCCTGTCTCAAAAAAAAAAAAAAAAAAAAAAAAAAAAAAGAAAAGAAAAAAAAAATGCCATCAAAAGCTAAGGTTAAGGAAAATCGCATGAGACGTGAATGTCTTAACAGACAAAACAATAACAACAAAACCCCAAATTTGTACAGTATTAAAAAGGACAAAAATAAACAGAAATTTCAGAGAGCTACTTTAAAAAGGTGTCAAGATGGGGTGGTGGGGGTGAGGGGTGCAGCTTGTTTAGAACAGACTAACATGTTATAAACCCAGGTAATCAAAAAGCACCAATAGGCTAGTCCAGTAACAGCGACGTAACACAGCTCACGGTTGGTCTCTTCCGCTGCCATGTCAACGACTACACGGTTACACAGGCTGCTCCTTCACGGATTTTAAAAATGTCTGCGTCTATTTTATGTGACTGGGTGCTTGCCTGCACGTTATGTATGTCTGTGTACCGTGTGTGCTTGTACCCAAGGATACCGGAAGTGCCAGAAACCCCCTAGGACTGGAGTTAGGCAGCTGTGAGCTACCACGTGGGTGCTGGGAAGCAAACCTGGGTCCTCTTTAATAAGAGCAACTAAGCCAGGCGGTGGTGGCGCACGCCTTTAATCCCAGCACTTGGGAGGCAGAGGCAGGCGGATTTCTGAGTTCGAGGCCAGCCTGGTCTACCGAGTTCCAGGATAGCCTGGGCTACACAGAGAAACCCTGTCTCGAAAAACCAAAAAAAAAAAAAAAAAAGAGCAACCAGAGCTCTTAACCACTGAGCCATCTCTTCAGCCTCTATATGGCTTTTTGTACCATAGAAGACAAAAGCATATCCAGGCCGGTGGTTCAGTCAAAGACTAATTTATTATATGATGATGATGTGGAGAGAACGAGACAGACTGTGAGACAGACTGTGAGCGTGTACATGCCGCAGTAGACATATGGAAGTCATTGTGTGTGTGTGTGTGTGTGTGTGTGCGCGCGCGTATGTGTGTACTGCATGTGTACTGCAGAAGTCATACTACAACTTTCAGAAGCCAGTTCTGCCACCATGGGACTGAACTCAGGGCCTCAGAAGACCAAAGCGAGAAACACTTTCACCCGCTGAGCCGTATTGCTGGTCCCTAATACATAATTCCTACAGAGCGCCTGTCAGTCCGTGCTGAAGGACTGACAAAGGCCAGCCTCTCCCGCAGAGGAGACAATGGAGAAGTACAGGGAAGTGGACAAGCCGGGCTCCTTCCTGCCGCATCCCCTAATCACCCCTCTTTGGCCCTGACCTCTTTGCAGGTAGTTTCTCTTAAGTAGTCCAAACTGGTTTTACTTGTTATTTTTAACAGATGACCTTCTATGCAAACATTTCTGGGCACATTCCTACCGCCGAAGAGAATACAAGGTTTCTTAATACATTCGTTCTTAACACTAGCAAGTCAAGACGAAATTAGAAAGCTGGTGACTGTGGGTAAAAAGAATGCCTCGTGAACTCAGGAAACAAGGGAGGAGCGAGAAGCGGGGTAATCCGAGAAGGCTGTGTGTGCTGGACCACGGGAGGAGGGAAAAGTTTAAAGGTAGCTAAAGTGAATGACGTGTTCACAATTTTTAGGAAACTTTATAAACACCCACACGGTAAGACAGGAAGGGAGGGCAGGCGTTTGACCTCCTTCATCCATAAACTCATGACTTTGGTACCCCCTACTCACCCCTGCACCAGTTGGGAAACCCTGTCTGCCCTCCTTCCCCAACCCCTGCCCCCTGCACAGATAAAACTCCTTCTCCACCAGCTTGGAGACACATCCCTCCGTAATCCCTCTGGCTCCTCTTTCCAGCCCCACCCAAGAGTGGCCCCCCAGGGGCTCAGTTTTTGACCATGAACGGACACCATCCCAGGTCTTAGCTGACATATCATCGCCCTGCGCCCAAGACACACAAAACACCCCTGAGTTAGCCTGGATGTGTGGCTTCACTGACCACTTGTGAGATCGGTGAATCCACTGAGAGCTGCCTCCTAATAAACCTGCCTTAACCTGCTTTTAATCTGGTCTGATCTGGCCTATATCACCAAGGGAGAGGAAGAGCATATCATGACCACTGGAGAGAGAGCTGCACCTCACGTTTTGTCTCATGTAGGACAAACAGGATGACAGAAGTTACCAGCGGACTGCGGAGTGAACGGAGTGGGAGTGAAGGCGGTGCAGGAAAGCCAGCCCTGTGCTAGCCTTTGCCGCAGGCCATTCTCAGGAGAGGGTCTGGACCAGTGTGTGAGGTGCTGCTGACTCACTGAATGGCCAGACTAGCAGATGACCACCCCAGCGGCCTTTACTCACCGGGGCAAAATCTGCTCTCAATGCCCAAATCCATGCAGGCATCTTGCTCTTTTTCCGACATGGGGAACATACGTGGTTGATAAATGCAAAGTCCTACGTGAGAGATAAAACACAGGCAGTGACCACATGGAGACGAAGCCAAAAAGTTTGACCTGGTGCCCTGGTAACAAAGCAAGAGTAACAACGACAGGAAGGACAAAGAAAAAGCACAACGCATTTCGGGAGGACAGTATCTCTGCAAAAAACACCAGCCATTTTCCAGAAGAAACATAGGTCAGAAATCCCCCTGACATTTCTTTAAAAAAAAAAAAAAAAGGTCAGTAGTTGCCAATAAGGAACCCAGGAATATCTAGGGTTGAGTCTCACCCACGGAGACAAGGTGGCGGTAGTTCTCCAGCATCACGTCTCTGTACAAACTCCTCTGTTCCGGGCTCAGACACTCCCACTCCTCCGGAGAGAAGTCCACCGCCACATCTCTGAACGTCATTACCTGTCGTGGCACAAACCCAATCAATGTTAACGGTCAAAGTTGAAGAAATGATTCAGCTGGAAGGAAAAAAGATGACAAAGGGTAGAGCAGGGAACGGTCCATAGAGCTGGCAGTCTGTGGCTCTGGGGAAAGGGTCAAGGAACCAAGTGTGACAAATGGAGTCGAGTGCCCACAGGCTCTTAAAACTACTGTTCTGGGGGCTGGGGCTCAGTGGTAGTGTGCTTGTTGCTCTTCTAGAGGACCTAAATTGAGTTCCAAGTATCCATTCTGGGCACCCATACCGGCCGCCCATTGCTCCAGGGGATCCGACACCCCATTCTAGCCTCCGCCGGCTCCTCCCCACACATTGTTATTTACAGAAGCAGACACACATACACACTAAAAAAAATTATAAAATATAAAAACAAACTATTGCTTGGTCACCAGATTCTTATCAGCTTCACAGAAGGTACACCATCAAGACACAAGGATGGAAAAAAAGACATCCTGGAGAGATGACACCTGTTTGAAGTCGCTATCTCCAGATGTCCACAAGCCACGAGTAAATCTGGACGTTTTGTGGACGTTTCTTCTTGAAGCGGTGGGTACTTTCTGTCAGATTTTCCACCAGTTTAAATTCAAAGAAATCTTTAGTGATGTATTTCCAAAAGAAATACTAGATTTTTTTGTTTTGTTCTATTTGTTTCTGAGCAGAACGTGTTGCTCTCTGTAAGCAACTGTCAATCAGCTAACTTTTTGCTAATTTCCAGGTCTCTGTACACTTAGGGTTTCCGTCATGACCTCTAAATGCACCAGGTGAGCTACACACTGAAATAGGCCCTGAACTGCAGCAAGTCTCATCCTGGCTGACTGAAATCCTCCAGTCTGTACAGACAGTACCTGAAAACCTTCTTGTCATCTGTCACCATTGTCCCACCTATGGATCTGATGTGACAGTCCAGGATGTCCTCCACAGACATGCTTTCTTCCCGATTAGATAGGAACTCCACAGGAAGACCAACAGAATCAACTAATCTGCACCCTTGGGGCTCTCAGAGTCTGAATCACTGATCAAAGAGGACATACAGGCTGGACCTAGGTCTCCCCACACATATATAACAGATGTGCAGCTTGGCCTTCATGTAGGTCCTGAACAACTGCAGCAGGGGCTATCCCAAGCCTTTGCCTGTATGTGGGATATGCTCTTCTAGGCGGGCTGCCTTGTCTGGCCTCAGTGGGAGAGGAAGCACCTAGCCTTGCAGACATTTTAAGTGCCAGGGTTGGGGAGATACCCAGGGGACCCCATCTGCTCAAAGGAGAAGGGGATGGGGGGTGGAGGAAGGATTGTGGGAAGGGGAGATTGATAGGGGGGTACTGAGCAGGATATAAAATGAATAAATAAATAAATGAATAAATAAATGAAAAACAAAATGAAAACCAAAACAAAACAAAACAAACCACAGCACTGCCGAGTGGGAGAGATAAAGGTCTATTAACAGAAGAAAGAGTGCCACACACAGAAAATCCTAGGCTGCCTCACGGCACCACTGACCGTGCAGAACGAGAGACAAGCACATTCTTGTGAGGAGAAATAGTTATTGTTGAGATAATATGAACTCACATGGGCCATGATTTGAAACTCCTAAAATCGACCAGTCGGTCCTCTTCTTGATTCCTGTGTTGATGAGGCCAGCTCCTGAGAAGACAGCGCACAGGGAAGAGAGCCATGAGACGGCTGGCTTTCCACAGACCATTCAGAGGGAGCGTGAGAAATGACAGCTCCGCCAGAAGTCAAGAGAACCCCAAGTGAAGCAGGATGACGTTGTAATCTAGTAAACTGTGGCCAAAATCATCCTATAGGTGGTGGTGGTGGCACACATGTTTAATCCCAGCACTCGGGAGGCAGAGGCAGGTGGATCTCTGAGTTCGAGGCCAACCTGCTCTACATAGTGAGTTCCAGGACAGCCAAGGCTACTCGGAAAAGCCCTAACTTGAAAAATAAAACAAAATAAATCATTCCAGAGATCAGGATATGAGACAAGGTTATTCTGATTTAATCTAAATGCCTCCAAAAAAAAAAACTCTACAAAGCTGGAGTAGAAATCTTTGAAGGAAATGTAATTTTCCCTTGTGGGTGTCCACCGGAGCTGTTGGGACTCCTCTGTACGTCCAGGACAGGGGCTTTCCCCGTGTCTAACAAACTCTACAGCACCTACTGAGACATTTCCATCTACAACATCTAAGAAGGGTCACGCTAGAAAACTGAAGACAGTTTTGAGGCTGTAACAAGTCTGAAGAAAGTCACCAGGCAATCAGTGAGATAAGCACGCACACAGGCCCCAGAGTTCACAGGGCACCTGCAGAAGTGACACGTAGTCCACCTCCACTGCCAGTCCCCACTAACCTCCAACCCCGGCACAGTCCTAACAAGTGTGCCTCGCAGCCTGGGTGTCGGGCCTCACCTCTGCAGAGAGAAATAACTGCTCTTTAAAAACTTTATTTTTACTTTATGTGAATGAGTATTCGTCCTGCCTGTGTATCCGTGTCCCTGATGCTCCCTGAGGACAGGAGAGGATGTCTGATTCCTTGGAACTGGAGTTCCAGAGATGGTTGTGAGCTGCCATGTGGGTGCTGGGAACTGAACGCAGGTCCTCTGCGGGAGCAGCGGGTGCTCCTAACTGTGGAGCCATCTCTCCAGTCTCTAACTGTACATTTCAAACTTAGAGATGTGGAAAGGTCTAGAGAGATGGCTCAATAGTTAAGAGCACTGGCTGCCCTTCTAGAGGACATGGGTTCAATTCCCAGAACCCATGTGCTGGCTCACAAGTATCTGTAACTCCAGCTTCAGGGGATCAGCCATCCTTTCCATGGGCAATGCTTGCACAGGATACAGAGACATCCAGACAAAACACTTACACACATATAATTAAAACAAAGAAACAAACAATAAACCAACCAGCCAAAAAAACAAGCAAACAGACAGACAGAAAGGACAGACAGGCTGGGCAGTGGTGGTGCACGCCTTTAATCCCTTTAATTTTGGTTTCTTGAGACAGGGTTTCTCTGTGTAGCCCTGGCTGTCCTGGAACTCACTCTGTAGACCAGGCTGGCCTCGAACTCAGAAATCCGCCTGCCTCTGTCTCCCAAGGGCTGGGATTAAAGGCGTGCGCCACCACTGCCCGGCTGAACCCAAGATTCTGACAGACAAGACAAAAAACGCAGGCAGGGAATTCACAGGATCTCTGTGAATTCTAGGCCAGACGGGGCTAGAGAGACTAGGGCTAGTGAGACTCTGTGTCTCCCCAGACCCCAAAAAAGAGCCAGTGGGTGGTGGCAGACACCTTTAATCCCGGCACTTGGGAGGCAGAGGCAGGCAGTGAATTTAAGGCCAGCCTGATCTACAGAGTGAGCTCCAGAACAGCCAGGGCTACACAGAGAAACCCTGTCTCGGGGGTGAGGGGGGGGGGAGAGAAGAAGAGACTGTTGCTAAAAGGAGACACGTAAGGGGGACTTGGATTCAAGGTGACTGAACAGATAGATGCCTGTGAGACCGTGAGTGGATACTAACGCCTACCTGCCTAAATAAATGGAAGGACGTGATGATACGGGGGAAATAGCACACAACGTCACCTAAGAAAAAGTTAGATAAAAACCCTGAAGAGAGGACAGGCTGAGGAGATGCCTCGGGGTTACGAGCACTGTTGCTCTTGCAGAAGACCCCGGCTTCATTCCCAACACCCACATGATGGTACAGGAGCACCCAGCATTCCAGTTCCAGGGGATTCAACGCTCTCTTCTGACCTCTCCAGAGAATCAGGTATGCACTTGGTATCCATAGATATATACACAGGCAAACACTCAGGCACATAAAATAAAGTTATTAAAAAATTTAAAACTCGAAAAGAGCTATGCTAAAAAGGTCAACTACCTCTAGCGGAGACGAAGTTCAAGTTTTTATTAGACTTTCCCACCCTGAAAATTTGTGGCTTGTATATTTGTGGGAAAAGAGATGAGAGAATCAATGACCGTATATATAGCCAAGTTATCATTCAATTTATAAATTAATTAACTTATTTTGGCTTTTGGAGGCAAGGTTTCATTATGTAACCCTGGCTGGCTGGGAACTTACTAAGTAGATCAGGCTAGCCCTAAACAGAGATAACCCGTTTCTGCCTTCATATTGTTGGGATTAAAGACTTGCACATGAAAGCAAGCAAGGTCTGGAAGGTCCCTATGGCTGGTAGAAGCGAAGAAGAGCGGCAGAAGTCGGGGCTGAGAACCAAATCCGGATCCTCCGCTGACACACTATGCATCTGACCCTCTCCTGTCCCTTTCTCTCCTCGTTTATCTCCCAGTTATGTTTCTGCCATTCCACTCACCAAGACGAGAAAGCACTTCCTTCAGCTCCACGCCCACTTTCAGAAAGTACAGCGTCTATTATTAAACCCATTGCTCATTCTTTGTGTGCCAGGGCAGCTGCTCTATCGTGTTTACATACACGGTCATGTACATACAGGCATACATAAACTGTCCACTGAAGTGACCATCGCTCTCCGGAACACACACAGGCACGGTAATCGCTCACGGCTCACACATTAATCCCAAGTGTGCGTACCCCATCTCCAAGCTCCCATACTGACCCCAACCCTGCCAGCCGGGAACGCCACCACATCCTCTTCAGAACTCTACAATTCCGCAGGAAAGCCTCCGCTTTCATGGCCATTCTGATTCCAAGCTTTAAACTGACACTCGCTATGCCCGACAGATCCTAGACGTTCCTAGGGCTTCAAGCCCGACGCCAATTGGGCTGAACCCCTCCCCCCGGAAGTCGCTCGGTCACGGTGCACTCTGGGACATGTAGTCCGTCTCTGTATTGTCTTTAACAAAAGACTACACTACAACTGTCAATTTAAAGACCCTGGCTTTAAACTCCACCACTTCCATCGACACAGACCTTCCCCACACACAGAGCTAACCTCTGTTCACAAGAGCTTCAGGTATTTCAGGACACGCTGAGATGGCCAATATTGAGACTTACATACTGCTCTTCCTCAGCTAGCCAAAGGATGCCTCTAACCATTTTTGGACCAGCAATATCCATGGGTGAGATGGTCCCTGGGAAATGTAGTCCACTGTCTGGGAAGCCAGGGAAACAGGCCTCAGAAAGATGCTGAGACACATGGGTTGTAAAACAGCATCATACTAGTGGTGAGTTTGTACAGTCTACATTCCAACGACGAACTAGCTGAATCACTCGCTACCTCGTATCACACTAGCTCCACTCCCTTGGACTCCCCTTAAAGCGTGTGTTGTAATTCATGCTCACGGTTTTGTTGTTCTTTGGTATACCGATGTCATTCTGCCCATCTTGCTGAAGTCCCAATAGAGGAGGATGGGTCACAGCAATAACAACTTAAGAGCAGGGCTTAGGAGGAAATCTGGAAGGCACTTCAACGGCGTCAGCCCCTCAGTGGACAGCTATGCCACGGAGGGTTCTCATTCAGCTACTGGGCTAAGAACCTCATTCATGGCTCTGTCCACCCACCAGTCTCTTGTCCAACTATGTCACATCCAGTTCGGTGAAGTTATAATCTACCGAGAGGACGGTCCAAGACTTGAATTTTAATTCTAACGCCAACTCACTGGCAGGGTGTGACGGTGCTCACCTAGCGCCCTAGCACTTGGAACGTGCAGCTGGGAGGGGCCAGATTCAGCCCTAGACTCTGATCTGATATACCCTGTGTGAGGCCAGCATGACCTCAGCCTATCTCAAAAGCAAACAAAAAACACCACTTGACAACTGTACTAGAGCTTGGTTGGTCTTTAATGATTACATATATATGATTACATATATATTACACATATAAAATATATATAATAATATATATTATATAATATATAATATAATTACATACAATATAATTATATTATAATAATTATTAATTATTATATATAATATATAATTATATATAATTTTAATATATTATAAATATATATTATAAATACATTATAATTATAATATATAATTATATATAATATATTATAAAATATATAATATATCATTATATAATAATATATAATATATATATAATGATTACATACACACACACACATACACACACACACACACTTATTCGCCAGACATGGTAGCCCACACCTGTAATCCCAGCATTGGCAGATGAGTCTCTAAGTTCAATGTCAGTATGGATTTGCATAGCAAGTCCTGTGCTAGCTAGGGCCCCTATCTAGAAGAGAAATCTAGAGGGACAGGCTCTATCTCAAGAAGAGAAAGGGAAGTGGGTAGGCTTATGGCATTGAAGTTTCTAAGTACTTCAGATAAGGAAACCACGTGACATTTACTTTCAAAGTCTGGAAGCTGTGGACACGCCGTGGAGGCTGGGCCCCACTGGTCCTTCAGTACTGTGTGCAGCTTGTTTCAGTCATGGCAATGCTGTTCTCTGTAATAAACACAATGACTTTCTGGTGCAGGACATGGTGGTTCACACCTGCTTTCTCAGTCATCCAAAGGGTTAAAGATCCTGCCTAAACAAAACAACAGAAACCACTAGAGAAGGGGAGGTAGGAGGTAAAGAGAATTGCAAGCCCAAAACCAAACCTCATCTGTGTCTCCTCAGGAACTCTCTAGAGGAGGGAAGATGTCTGCTTGGGGGCGTTAATAATGCCCTCACCCAAAAACAAACAAAAAAACCTCAGCTGTACCTTTTCCCTCCTGTAACGCGGACACCCCAGAAGACCACACTAACCAATCGTAATTTGGGGAAAAAAATGTGATTTAGGATGCTTCAGATCTCTCTATAATCCCAGCCACTCGTGTACAGTGATCTATCCAGTCCAGACCCAATCCCCAAGAACCATTCGATCCACATACGCTGTCCCCTCCCCACGTCAGCTCGATCCACTCACAAAGCGCCGCAGCTCGACCCCAACTCTCGCTCATTTTCCTCACCTCGCAGTTTCCCTGCTGTTCAACTCCTCCCAGATCCAGCAGCACTAACCTCCCCATGCTCTCTCTCACACACACGCAGGGCTGTCATTGCGGACTCTGTCACCTACAGGACGAGGCTGGCTTCCTCTTGATCAAACTGCCGCTGCTGGGTTGGTCTCAGACGCTGGGGTCCTACATTCCGGTCTGCGGCCCCAACTTCCAGCAGGAAGTCGAATTCGGAACAGCCTCCTTAGCCAGATTTCCGCCTGGGGATTGGGTGACTCAGCCTACTCTAACCGCGCGCCTGCGGGCGCCAGCACGGCCTTGAACTACATTTCCCAGAATACCTCGTGGTCCCGCTTGTCGCCACTTGAGTGGTGGTCCCTTGGAAATTCGCGGTGCTGGGTCAAAGAATTGAACCAGACCAGCTAAATCTCCAAGGGTTTAAGAGGATAAAGAGCTTGACGCCAAGCCCGATTACCTGAGTTCGATCCCCGGGGACACACAGTGAAAGGCAGAATCTACTCCTGCAAGTTGTCTGCTGAAGGCCACATGAGCGCTCACACACACACACACACACACACACACACAAATGTCATTATTATTATTATTATTATTATTATTATTATTATTATTACAAAAATTTGCATTGCAACAAGCCGAACACAGTGGCTCACGTCTTTAATGCCAGCCTCAGGGAAGCTGAGGCAGGAGAGCTCTTCGAATCGAAGGCCAGTCTGAGCTGTCTCAAACAAATACGTGTTGCCAATTGGCAGCAGAGAAATGATAGCCAACCAGCATGATGAGGAGTGAGTGGGTGGTAAAGTACTGGGCGAACTTGAGTATCAATAAAAGGGGATCTTATCAAGGCACTCTGCTGATGTCGGAATGACCTGGCAGGGAGGACATCTAATAGAAACGAGGATTCAGAGGAGCCTGATCAAAGTCTGGTCTAGGGAGTCTTTGTCTGCTGGGATTTCCTCAGGATTCGAAGAACAGCTGAGTACTTTGTGTCTGTGGTTCAGGCCACACCTTTCAGCCCAGACTTATGCCCCCTGTCCCTTCCCAGACTACATTTCCAGGCGTTGTACTTCCCTCTCCTGTGAACCTCTTTTGAGGAGTGGGCAGGGTACTCCTGACAGGTTTTTAGAGAACGTATTAGCCACTTTAGGGATAACGAGATGCCTTGGTGCCAAGTGTTTGGATGCTCCATCCTGTGCAGGGCGTTGAAGAGAAGCTGACTCCCGGAATCCGGAGGCCTGTAGAGTTGTTACCATGTATCTGGGTGGTAGTCTAGGGGATGTGAAGATGTAGAGATTCCTTGATTGGTGAGTATGACCGCATCTTTTGTGTGTGTGTGTCTAGAATCTGTGTGACCATTTTGTGCCATGCTTTTTACCAGTTCGAGGTCCCTTGAGTGTGAGTTCCCTGGGTTTATGTGTTTGCCAAACTTTGGGAAAGTGTAAGGTGCCCGACTGAGGTGTCACTGCTTCCTAGTGGGCCTTTTTTAAAATTTTGGTGGGGGTATGGGGCAAGGGTGACTGTCACTGGGGTGGACCGCATTTTTATTTGAGGCATCTGTGGCTTTTATGCCCCCATGGTGTATGATTGATAGGCGGGGGCAACTTTGTACCTTTGTGACTCCAGCCAAGGGGACTTGTGTCACATTCTGGGGTGGATCCTATCCTGATCTACAGTCACCCTACTTTTGTCTAGCCTTCTCTGATTTCTTGATGAGTTCTATGGGTGTTGAGCCAAAGTGACCTCTGAAATGGTGGAATAGGCACTCACACAAGCCTGGTGTGTCCTCACTTTTTTTTTTTTTTAATTCCCAAGCTTTGCTGGGCGGTGGTGGCACACGCCTTTAATCCCAGCACTTGGGAGGCAGAGGCAGGTGGATTTCTGAGTTCGAGGCCAGCCTGGTCTACAGAGTGAGTTCCAGGACAGCCAGGGCTACACAGAGAAACCCTGTCTCGAAAACAAAACAAAACAAAACAAATAAATTCCCAAGCTTTGTCCTGTAGCTTATGAGTTCCTGACATCCCTTTACTTTTGTCAAGACATGGCTTGTTTTCCTTCTGTTGAAGATTCTGCCCCATCCTTTGACTGCATTTCTGTAGTGTACCCTGAAGTGGAAGTTTCAGGAAGCGTAAGGTGATGCTGACTTACGGGGTGTTTTGCTGAAGCAAGATTCGTGGGAGGACACGTGATGTTTGGACAGAGTATAAATAGGACTCAACCTACAGTGACCGGGCTTGCACAGCTAGCTTTACAATGCTCTGCTGGTCTGAGTCTTTGCTGATCTTTGCTTCATTGTATGGTCTTATCCGTGCTTCAATCCTTGACCCCCCTTCATTTTCCTGATTTCCTTTTTTACGACAAACACAGGGGAATCCCATGGGCTGGTAGATTCTTCTCTATGTTGACCCTCCAGCTGCTCTTATGCCAGTTGTTCAAGTGCCTGAAATTTTGTTGTTGTTATGGGTGACCTGCCATACGAGTCTGTTTAATAACCATTTTAGGGGCAAGGTTGTTGGTATATCAGCAGTGACCCCTTTTATAAATTTGGAAACTCAGTCTCTATGTTGTCCTGTTTTTGGATCATGGGCACAGCTTGTGATTTTTTTTCTTTGATCACCTGTATCAATATCTTCAGGAATGTCTCTCAGAGCACACCTAACTTCCTCATTTGCTGTCCCTGGAATTACATAAATATTTATTTTAGTACCCATTGTTATAAAAAAAATCCCTCCCATATAAATTTATGGGTATGTCAGCTATATAAGGTTTCAGCTTCCCTGTGTGCCCTTCTGGTCTCACACAGGTAATCCACGGGACACTTTGTGGCCAAATTCACCACATTTAAAGCACTGGGCATTTAATTTTCTAAGACTTCTAGCTATGGCTTGCCCTACAATACTGGTATGATGCTCCTGAAAACCAATACCAGTTGTCTCTCTTATCCACTGGAATAGCTGGAAAGAGGAGGAGGTACAACTGGGTAGTGTTCAGCCAAGCACACCACCAGAGGATTTGCCATCTACTGAGGCTCCTCATGCTCTCGGTGGTCCGGTTGCAATCTTACATTCAGTATTTGTGTTTTCAATGGTCAGTATTTGTATCAATAACTGTCTGGTTTCAGGCTCTGATATGGCTCTATTTATAGCTGAACCCAATCTCTGTAAGAAATTGGTGAATGCTTCTGTAGGTCCCTGTATTACCTTCATAACTGAGGTAGAATTTATTCCCTGGCTCCTCAATCTTATCCCAGGCCCTTAAAGCACAACAAGACTTGTTTGACTATGCCATCATCAGATTGGATTTGTTCTTGTAAATCAGTATAACTTGCTTCACCAAGCAGTTGGTCTTTAGTAACTCTTACCTACCTTGCTATATTCCATTGTTCTATTTTTTTTGTGGCTTTGTGCCTCCACCACAATAACCTCTGTAATAGTTGTCCGGGTTCTAGAACAGCTGACACCAATCGTTTCCAGTCTTGGGGGCAACCCTATTCTGTCTAGCCCAAGTATTTAACATTTCTTTAACAAATGGAGAATGAGCCGGGCAGTGGTGGCTCACGCCTTTAATCCCAGCACTTGGGAGGCAGAGGCAGGCAGATTTCTGATTTCAAGGCCAGCCTGGACTACAGAGTGAGTTCCAGGAAAGCCAGGACTACACAGAGAAACCCTGTCTCAAAAAACCAAACAAACAAACAAAAACAAACAAAAACAAAAAACAAAACAAAAACCAAACAACAACAACAACAAAAGAGACAAATGGAGAATGCAATCCATACAACATAATAGCCTCTTTAAAGTGCTTTGGATCCAGCATTTCTGTCAGATGCCAGGTCAACTCATTACAGGCAGGACCGCCATCATTAGCAGGCTATGCTGCACAAAGAGAAGGCTGAGGGTGCCTGTGTAGGCCCAACAAATCCTCTGGTGGTGCACTCTGCTGAACACTACCCAGCTGTACCTGTACCATCTCCTGCTCTTCCTGGCCCTAGTTTCACGGAGGTGTTCTGGGTGCTTGGTAGTGAGAGGGTGGGGAGGCAGTTTACCTTTCAGCCTCTTTTGTGTCCCTCTCTCATCTTGCAGTAAATTCCCAGTCTCAGCCACCAAGCCTGAACCCTGTTGTTCTCCTCCCACTGGCTTTTTGCTTCCCAAGCACATCTACCTCTATCTGCAAACTCTCCACATGCTCAGCCGACTCTGTAATCTTCTCTAACATAGGAGAATTGTCAGCTTTCTCCCCAGTCTTTTTCAAAAGAACATAACATGAAAACCATGAAACAAAAGCTAAAAAAAAAAAAACAAACCCAAAAAAACCAAAAACAACAACAACAAAAAACCTTCTGGGAACAAGGTAGGAGACAAGCAGCTGCCATAAATGCTATTTTGCCCACCCCTTTAAAGAACATTGTAACCCCTCATAACCTGACTTTTCCTCTACCACATTTGAAGTAGAATTACCCATTATGCCTAAGCCACACTGGGTGCCATCTGTAAGCTTACATTTTTCAAAACCAACCTTAATCAATATTCTCAAATGCTTTGACCCTGCTTCTAGTCCACTGTCCAAAGGTAGCTCCTAGGAGAAAGGATGTTAAATAGGAAAAGGTGTGTGTGGGGGGGTATGGACATGTTTAGAAATAATTCTTTGGGGGCAATTCCAATTTCTGTTTTCAGAATTACCAGCAGTCCAGTTCAGTACTATCGGGATACAACAGTCCAGTTAAGTACTATCCGGATACAAAACACAAATCAGCAGCGGTGGCACAATCCAGCAGAAACAGCCAGGCCTCTGCTGACTAGATACGAATCAGCAGGAGAGACCAGAATCAGCCTGGATGCCAGGAGAAGTTCTCTGCCATGCCTCTCTCGACGACGGGAAGATCAGCCAGGATGCAAGACCAATGAAGAGCTTCACGGCTGGCTATGCAAGCTCCCCGTCACTGTCCACTGAGTCCTATTTATACTCTCTCCAGACATCACATGTCCTCCCATAAGTCTTGCCTCAGCAAAACACCACTTGAGTCTGCATCACATGACATATCCAGACTCTTCCATTTCAGAGTAACTGAATTTACAGATAGCTGTGAAGTACCATGTAGTTGCTGGGACTTGAACACGGGGACCTCTGGAAGAGCAGCCGGTGCTCTTACTGCGGATACATCTCTCCAGCCTCATATTAGTGAATATTTAAGGACAATTCAAAGAAGGCTTCATTTAAT